TCAATGGGGCCCTGTCTGCCTGCCCTGGGAATTCAACAGCTAAACAGCTCTGCCGGCTTCCTTTGGTGAGCTGATCCTTTAGGCTGGCTTGTTGGCTGTCCTAAGGCTGCCATGATCTAGGTAGGGTTTGAGCCTTGACTCGAATTTTGAAGTTTGAAAGGGCTAGGAATATAAGAAACTGTCCTTATTCACTATGGAAACTAGTAAACTTTTTTTTCTTCTTTTTTTAAAGATTTATTTATTTATTATATACAATGTGTGTTTGCATGTACACCTGCAGAAGAGGGCACCAGATTTCATTATAGATGGTTGTGAGCCACCATGTGGTTGCTGGGAATTGAACTCATGACCTCTGGAAGAGCAGCCAGTGCTCTTAACCTCTGAGCCATCTCTCCAGCCCCACTAGTAAACTTTTTATTTAAAAATTTTACTTTATGTGTGTGGATGTTTTTCCTTCTCACATGTCTTTGCATCACACGCATGCCTGGGGGTGGGAAGTTTAGTTCCTGCTACTGACTGTTGACTTATGACGTCTCATGACAATTTGGGACTCTGCCAGCAGGAAGTCCATAGCTAGATGTGCACTTTGATCTTCAGAATAGAAATGTGGGTCAAAAAAACCAACCTGTTTTCTTTATAAAGTGACCCAGTATCAGGAACTTATTAATAGTCATAGAAAATTAACTAATATACTGGCCTCGTAGCCTAGATAGCAGATTATCAGTTATATTTGGGGTGGGCTAGGGAGAGACTTCTCCCTGCTGGGATCTTATCACTAAGGAGATGGGTGTGACAAGAGGCCAGGGAGAGACCAATCCCGTGGGCTCCAGCCGCACAGGCCATCTCCTTCCACCCACTCCTCCTAACCCATTGGCCAGGAGGTGTCACTGTTAACCTGAACAGGGAAGTTCTAACACATGCTGACCAACAGTTACTAATGGAAACATAACACAGGCGGAGGGGACCTCTGCAGCCTTCCCTTCCTGAGGATTACAGGGGGACCCGAAGCTGCTCCTGTGAAGAGCATTGCTTTGGCTGATTTAATAGCCATCTTATTACCAGCCTGGTCTGGGTTTGATGTGACCTTCAGTCACCATGGCGCTAACTCAGACCTGAGGTGACACTATATGATCTAGGCCGGAGTTTGAGCTAACCTTGAATGGGCAAGAATGAGGGGTGTCTGTGTAGTCTTCATTTGCTCTTTGTGTGTGGTTTTGTTGTTTTGGTTTTTAGTTAGTGTGTTCGTTTGTTTCAGCAGAGTCTTCTAGCCCAGGCTGGTGGGGAACTTGTTATACGGTCCTGGTTGACGTCTCTCTTGCAATTCTCCTGCCTCAGCTGCCCAAGTGCTAGGATTACAGGCGTGTACTACCCTGCCTGGAATTGTGTGTGTGTGTGTGTTAATGTTTTAAGCAGGGCTGCAGAAGCCACCTGCATACACTGTGAGTGCCATCGGGGTCGTGACCACCACGGATGGATGCTTTGCTAGGTGTCAGACACCTGGATGAGTTTGAAGCCCCCACCCCAACCCCCCTGTTGCCCTGCCCTCCCAGGGCCCTCCTCCACCAGGCAGGTATGTGGCCTGCCCTTCCCACACAGCTGAGGACAGCTGTGAAGGTGAGCCAGCACAAAATTATAAACTCACCTAAAACATTACATCCTTCTGTGGCTTTGAAAACTCAGCCGCACAGTTCCTGAGTATGAGGCTTTTGCAGATGATGTCACGAGGTTAGATGTACCTTCCCCTGGTTATGTCGCCAAGTCAGCTCCCTCAGTGCTTGCTGTCCAGCCTGGTTTGAGGAGCACTGGTTTAGCTCAATGTTGCCTGTCACATGGGGATGGCTGCTCATTTATGGTTGCCCTGTGAGCTGCTGCTATGCCTTGGCTCCCGGCTTTCCGTCACATGAGGCTGTAGCTTGAGCAGGGCCTAGTCGGCTAAACTTCAATAGCTTGACCACGCTCCCAAGTGCAAGACGCTGAGCATGCACTTTGTATTTCAGAGCCACCAGGAGGAAGCGGATTGTCCTACAACTTGCTGCCACGATGCTGGCTGCTCGTCTCTCCAGACCACTGGCACGGCTCCCAGGAAAAACGCTAAGTGTCTGTGACAGAGAAAATGGGTCAAGGTAAGCAACCAAAGGAAGAGTTGGCCTTGAAGACCATGCTTTTCGCAGGTCGGTCCTGAATGTCCTCAGTGCCTGACAGACCCCAGCGAAGGCAGCCTCACATGCTCAGAAGTCAGGCGCTTCCAGGGCTCACAGGGGAAAGCTTCCTAACTGCCTTCTAAACCCCTTTGCATGTGCTGGATTGTAGATCAGGGACAGAGCACTTGCCTAGTGTACACATGGTTCCTGATGACTGCAAAAATGAGCAACCCTTTTTATCTGATTTTTTTTTTTTTTTTTGGACAGGGTTTCTTCTGTGGAGCCCTGGCTGTCTTGGAACTCACTCTGTAGACCAGGCTGGCCTCGAACTCAGAGATCTGCCTGCCTCTGCCTCCTGAGTGTTGGGATTAAAGGTGTGTGCTATCACTGCCACGCTCTGGAATACTTTTATAATTATATAAAAGTTGCAAATGCAAAGGACACCTAGATCCTCCTCAGTCAACTTTCTTAGCCAGTCACAGCATATAAAATCTTGTAGTGATGAACATCAGGAAATTGCCATGGAGATGACAAGCTACAGGCCTTATCCAGCCTCCACTAAATGGCCTGTGATGGATCTTTTATACAGCGCAGAGTTTAGCCCCTGCCACTGCCATTGCATTTAGTTAGTGTGTCTCCTTAGCCTTTTCCCCATCAGCAGCAATTCTTTGTCGCCTTTGGTCAGTCTTGACACTGGAAGACCGCTCGCCAGCTATTCTGAAGCCTATCTCTGCTGGTGTAGAGCGTGTGTGTATCTGTGTGTCGGTGTGTGTGTCTCTGTGGTCAAATACAGATTAGCACATTGGTGAAGAGCTTGTAGAAGCGAGGTGCGCCCTCCTTAGCTTTTCGCCAATGTCCACGTGACTCATTTCTTTGGTCTTTTCACATTTACACTTTTAAGTAAATGCCCCAGACATCCCTGAACTGCTTGTGTGCTTTTAGAAGAATTATTAAATCAGTACAGGCTAAACAAGCAGATCTTCAGTATTTTGGAGACACCGTCTTAACCTTGTTGCCCAGGCCCCCACTTTAGCCTGTGAGTGCTGGGGCTGGGTGTGTGTAGCCACACTCAGTAGATCTGTTCCGGGGGGGATTCCAAGGACAGGTAAGATAGATACACTTCTCCTGGTTATAGTTAAGGGACGTGAAACAGAATGTCAACAGCCAGACAGTTGCTGTTGGGAACAGCAGGCAACCAGTCTCTGAGATTGTTCTTCAAATATATATATTTTTTTCTGTGAGATATTTCAAATATCTTTTGGAGAAAGACACCTCAGAAGTGACAGTGTTCACTCCGCCAAGATTCCCAGCTTTCCCATTCACCTTGATTCTCTCCTGGAGGAGCTGCTCAAAATTGGCAGCATCCATGATCCCATCTTCTGCGGTCAACTTCAGAACTTCAGAACTTTATCTATCTATCTATCTATCTATCTATCTATCTATCTATCTATCTATCTATCTATCTACTATTTATTTATTTAGGCCACAAGTGTTTTCATAGGTGGCATGATGGCAGACGAGGCAAAAAGTGCCTTTTTCTTTTTAGTCCATCATTATTTATTTGTACAAATCCTTGAATGTTACAACATCAGGAATTCTGTGTCCAATGGCTTAAGCAGGAAATCTGGCAGGAACCACTGTTTGCATGGGCACAAATTACACGTCTTCAAGAACTGCTTTTGTCCATTTTGCTGTCAGGATTCTGCATGGTTTCTGCTTTGTTGCAAAATAAGTGCCACCCTTGCCCAGGGAGAATTCACCTCCATCTTTGGTGTGAGCACTGTGAATTTAGGAAGAGCTGTGCTCATCTGAAGACCATGCCTACGGCCAGGGGAAGTGGCTTGTGCCACAGGCTTCTAGACCTTCTTAGCTTTAGATGTCCTATTCCCAGTGGGCCAGGACACCCCATTCTTCAGGCTTCAGGGATCTAGCACCTTCAGTCCTGTGGCTCCTCCCTCCTGCCCACTTTCCCTTTGGAATCTATAGAAATCACTGGCCAGCAAAGTGTCCATGCTGTTCTGGTGCCTTGCTGAAGGATATAGTGAAACTGCCCAGTTATTTGCCCACCTCTGTTTTTTTTTAAAGCAAGTTATTCATAAAAATAGAGAATCCTGGGCCTGGAGAGATAACTCGGTGATAAAGAGGACTGGCTGCTCTTCTGGAAGACTCATACTCCCAGAGCAACATCCGAGAGGCAGCTCATAAAGGTCTGACTCCAGTTGGAGGGGATCTGATGCCCTCCTCTGGCCCCTGCAGGCACTGCACCAAAGATTTGTCCTTAAAGGGAAGTGGGTCATTAGTTGCGCTTCTGGCTCATTTGAGAGAGAGAAAAGGCGTTCGTTATAAGGACATTCTTGCCTATGTGGCTAAGTGAGGAGTTACTTGGTTATTTCAAGGAGCATGAGGGGCGGGGGCAGAGCTGAGTCAGAATGTCTTACATGCCCCCCAGGATAAGGTATCAGTAGAGGCCCAGAGGGACAGCAGCTGCCAAAGGAGACTGGCCCCAGGGATGACTTTTGCTAAGAACCAGACACAGGGTCTTCAGGGAAGTCTTTGGCTTGATTGGTTTGCCAAGGGCTTCATGCTCCAGTCCTCCCGGAGGGTGAATCCTGCTGATCTCCAAGCATCCTTGACAGTAGTAACCTTCCGGCCTTGATGCATTTTGAATGTGTCCATTGATGGGAGTCACAGCAAGCCGTGTGGCTTTGGACAGCTCTATATACAGTAGCGAGTGGCAACGCTTTGTCCTGTAGAGGCCACCCTCTGTTCCCGGGTCCACCTCTGCGTTCGCAGTCACATCTCCCTCTGGACACCACGCCACCCGGTACCCATCCCCTTGCCACCCTTTATTCCATCTGTGTGGTGGCCCCCTGAGCGGTAATCCTCGGCCTGTGTTCCTTCTCAGGAAGCACAGCCACCACGGCCCACGGGCCTCAGCAGGGGTCTCACAGGACACGTTCAGGTGAAAACTTCCTGAGGAGTGGCTGGCTATGCCACACACACACCTTCCCCCATAGCACTGGAGATCTGCTCCACTTAAGGACTCAATGGCCCCAGTGGCCCTTGGGTTTAGGAGTATCTGGGTGCACCAGAAGATAGGGGTGCCTCCAGCAGATAGCTTACTGACATGTTCCCATCAGGACACTACCACTCATACCCTGCAGTAGTGACGGGCCCAGGGAGGGAGGAAACCTAACAGCCCATGCCTTGGTTTCAGCTGTGTAGACATGGGTGCCGGTGTTTTCACCTGCCCATCCTGGGTTAGAATACCTGCTTTTGGTAGCTACGTGACACTGGAGATTCCTGACTGTCCCCTACCCCAGAGGCCACTGTAGAACTGTCCTTCTCCCAAGCTGCACTCGGGTCATGCTGTGCAATCTTCTAACCCAGTCTTAACTAGATACAGCCCACTACACCGACCTGTGGAAGTCTCCCCTTGGCGGAAAGTTGAGTTACTGGTTACCGTGCTGGTTCACGATGGGAGCAATAACACAGGTTAAAAACTCTGAGCGGTAAGAAAGGGCAAAAGCCAGAATGATGCCTGGGTCATCCTGGAAGGCCTCTTCTATATGGCCTGAGGTTTCTGGTTGCGAGCGTTCAAATGAGCGGCGGTGTCTGCCACAGGCCCTTGGCATGGAGCTGCTGTCTGCCTCACCGTGTGGATTCTGCTTTAATTGGTCATGAGCAAGGGCCCCACGATAGATCTCACACAGGTGTGGGAAGCCTAGAAAATTGAAGTCAGAGCAGATGAAACACGGCTGTCAGGGATGACCGGAGGTGGCAGAGAGCCAGGAAGAGCCCAGCAGGACACTCATGCCAGCTGGAGCTGTCCCGTGCTGGACAGAGGCTGAATCACCATCTGTTGGGCTCTGCCTTTCAGGGTGGGTGCAGAGGGTTTGGGGCCATGAGTTCTCTGGCTATGTAAAAATGTGCCACTGACTGTGTGTGGTAGAGCCCAATGCCACATACTCACTCATGCTCTATGACGACATAGACACCACAAATTGTACTTGTTTTATTGTTTTTGTGTGTTTTTTTTTCTTAATTTTAATTTTTAAATTTTCTTTTGTGGTGGTGGACATGGGACATGAGTGTGCTCGGGGTGCCTGATGTGAAATTTCCAAAGATTATGTTGAAAAATTATTTTGGAAAACACACACACACACACACACACACACAAAGGAGGACTAGCAGGAAAGATTTTTATGCTCTGTGATCACAAAAGCTTCTAGAGCATCTGAAGGATGTTTGAAGTTCAGCAGTGAAAGAAGGAAATGTCCACAGAGCATGGACAAACACAGACAGGATGTGTGTGCTGTGCTACGGTCCGAATGCCCTGTAGCCCCCGTGTGCACACGCTGACACCCTGCTCCCATAGAGCTGGTGTATCGTGGTTCTCTAGAGGAACAGAGGAGGAGGGCTTGTGAAAGGGTGTGTTAGATTGGCCAGTCTCAACAATGCCTACGTACACATCAGAGAGCCAGGGACCCCAGTAGCTGCTCAGACCATAAAGTGGCAGTCTCAAACCAGTGCCGGAGGCCCGGAAGACCCCTTGATCGTCACCGGCTTTTCGTCTGCCTTGGAAGGGAGAGGAAGCTGGGGTTGGATAAAAGCAGTAGTGTGCACAGCGAGGGCAGGCGGGCAGCACTGCTTTCCCCTCAGACAACTTTGTGTAGGAGCTCTTTGAGCCGGCTTTGAGGGTAGCTCCTCCTCCATGAGTGAATCCTTTCTGGAAGCACCCTCACAGACAGAGCTTGTGAATCCTGGCTTGCTTCCAAATCCTGTCAAGTTGACAGTTCAAAGCCACCATGCCAGCTGGTGTGAGGTCTGGCCTTACAGGGTGTTGGGTCATAGAGGCTGCTTGTCAGTGGGCTAATGCCTTAGAGATAGAGGTCTAAGAAACACACACCATCCCGTTCTGCCAACTAGAGTCACAGTAGAAATTGTCAACCTAGGAAGTTGGCTGTCACATCTGGAGCTGCCCAGATTTCAAAACTGTTACGTTTTCACCCTTTATAAAACCACTGTGTTAGCCGGGTGGTTGGTGACACACGCCTTTAGTCCCAGTACTTGGGAGGCAGAGGAAGGCAGATCTCTGTGAATTTGAGGCCAGCCTTAATACAGAGTGATTCTAGGACAGCCAGGGCTACACACAGAGAAACTCTGTCTTGAAAAACTAAACAAACAAACAACAAAACAAAACTAATAATAATCCATTGTATTGTTTGTAAGTCACCCTTATTATGGTATTTTATTAGCCGTTTGGCCTGACACAGGTGTTAGATAATAAAAGAGATGTTCGGCATCCTTGGTTATTAGAGAATTAAAAATTAAAACCACAGTAAGATAATCATATGTGGTTTTCAACATGCCTAAAATTAAAAAGCAGTGGCCAGGCATGAAATGATATGACTGTAATCTCAGTAGTTGGGGGTGGCTGAGACAAGAGGATGCTGGCCGGGTTGAGCCAGTCTGGTCTACATAATAAGTTCCATGCTAGCCTGGCCTGCATGAGGTCCTGTCACAGTAGACAACAGTAACAAATAAACACACCTTTAAAAATAGTGAGGATATCCAATTGTGGGGACTATGTGGAGAAAGTGGGTCCTCATACATCTCTGCTGGGAATGCAGTATGCTTCCATGGCTCTAGAACTGTAAACAGTTCCCCGGTTTCTATAATAATGAAGCATGCACCTACCATATGACCCAATGATTGTATTCCTGGGATTTTAGCCTAGAGAAATATGTTTATACAAAATCTTGCCCAGGAATCTTCATAGCAGCTTTATTCATAATAAATCCAAACTGGAAACAACCCAGATGACCTCCAGAAAGTAAACAGTTACACAGTCACCTGAGTTAGAGAGCATGGCTTAGACACAAGAAGCTTGTATCCAACAATCTGGATGAGTTTCCAGAGATCAACATTGAGTGTACAAAGCCTGGCCCAGAAGGCTCTGCGCTGTATGATCCATTTTATAACGTTCTTTTTGTTGTTACTGTTTTGTGGTTTTGAGACAGGATTTTACTCTGTGGCTCAGGCTGGGCAGGAACTCCCAGCAGGTCCTTCCTGCATCAGCCCCCTGAGTGTTGGGATTGTAGATTGAGCCACCGTACCTGGCTTAATGGTAGTTGTAGTGGTAAGGGTAAAGAGAAGGATGCACAAAGTGATGGGAATGTTCTGCATTGTTGCGGTATCACTGCCCGCATCCTGGCTGTGATATTGCACCAATGACTTTGGGCAAGTGGTACCCAATGTCTCTCTACTTGCTTTTCTTTCCTTGTCTCTCCTCCCCATCCCTCCTCTCCCACCTCTTCTTTTCCTTTCCTCTCCTCCCTCTCCCCAGATCCCTCTTTCCCTAGAACTGGGGATTGAATCCAGGGTTTTGCCTAGGATGGGATGGGATAGGAAAGGACTATATCACTCAACTGTATCCACAGCCCTATTTTTACTTTTCATGATAGGGCAGGGTCTAACCAAATTGCCCAGGATGGCCTTGAACTTGTGATCCTCCTGATTCGTCTTCCCAAGTAGCTGTGATTACAAGCCTGCCCCCACCAAGCCCAGCTCTACGCATCCTTTCTTAACAGTGTGTATATCTGTAATTATTTCCAAATAAAAAATTTTAAAAACAATTATCAGGAAGCATCATTGAGCTTACAGAATTAAAACACTGAAATTACAGAAGGCTTTAACTTTTATTTAGAGAGAGAGAGAGAGAGAGAGAGAGTGTGTGTGTGTGTGTTCATGGGAAGGTCAGAGGACAACTTGCAGGAATCAGTCCTCTCTCCTAGCATCCCGTGGGCTCCAGTGATGAATCTCAGGCTGGCAGGCCTGGCAGCAATAACCTTTACCCACTAAGCTATCTCATCAGCCCGCAGAAGGCTCTTTTCTGAAAGCATATGCACACTCTGATTATCCTGGAGCACTGCCCATCTGTGTACCCCAGAAAGTGGGAAGTGAACATTACTGGAGCAGGCCGCACGCCGGTCAAGTTTTCCTATGGCCTTCTAAGAAAAGAAGCCTTTGGGCTGGCTTTCTTCTCAGGAGGGCATCTCCTGTATGGTGGCTGAGGAGGTGGCTGCTGCACTGCCCTCCTGCCTGGCTCCTGGTGGAAAGGGGGTCCCTAGCAGCAGTCTCCAGAGGCTGGAATGGGGAGAAAGTCAGCCTAGGTGGTGATTGAAGGTGTTCTGGGGGTGTTTCTGCCCGGGAGTGGGGTCTGAAGAGAGACTAGGACCTTGCATTCATGGCTTGCTGTTTTCTTGCAGACACATGCTGTTGTTTTACCCAGCCTCCTTCACCCCCGTCACCTGCCGGACTTATGCCAGTCAGGCAGATGCGGTGAGTGGCCGCCAGCTCCCTGGGAGCCATCGGGTTGGGGAGGGCACTTTTGGGACCTTAGGCCTCGAGCCGCGCTCTGAACGGGCCTGAACGGTGTTCAGGACATTCCGAACCACGTTCTCACTTAACCCTTCTTTAAGGCCCTCCTGTCAGTAGGGAGAAGGTCCAGGGAGTTTGTGGGAGGCCTGCTGGGAAGCAGAGAGAAGCTTAGGGGTTCAGAGTGAGGCTCTGGGCTCTCTGCTCCAGGCCTCTTATTAATTGCATCAGACTTTTTGAAAGCATCTGTTTCCTCACTGACGTGCAGTAATCACCATCACGCAATTGTAGTGGTTAGTCGCCTAAGATCATCAGAAAACACAGATATTTACCTTATCGTTTATAACAGTAGCAACATTACAGTTATGAAGTAGCAACAAAAGTAACGTATGGTTGGGGAACATGAGGAACTGGAGTAAAGGGCCGCAGCATTAGGAAGGGTGTTGAATCACAGGTCTCTGGGGTTTTGCTTGGGGATGGGGAGTCATGGGGACAGAGTACCCTGCACTGTCCTGGATAAGCCTGGCTTGGACGAATGTGACAAGGACAGTGAGCATTGTGGAGACTGTAGATGAAGACACTGAGATCCTGAAAGCAGGAGTCCCTTCCCCAGGCAGTGTTGGTGGTGGCGGACTCTCGGTTAGAGCTTGGTCTCCTGATGCTGAGTCTCCGTAGACCTTGGTGCTTGACGTTATCGAGACAGCGAGAACCAACGAGGAGGATGAGGCCTGGTCAGCCGGCATGTGATAGAATCACTGCCTGGAGGACTGGGGAGGGTTGGGAAGGGCTTGCTCGGTAGGGTTTGGTTTTCTACCGCAGGATCCTGGGTTCCTAAATCGGGTCTAACCCTCTAAAACAGGCTAGCGGCAAAGCTGTCCTGGTTACAGGCTGTGACTCCGGATTTGGGTTCTCTTTGGCCAAACATCTGCACTCAAAAGGTTTCCTTGTATTTGCTGGCTGCTTGCTGAAGGTAAGACTGGGTCATTTTCTTCACCGTTGTCCAAGCAGTTACAGTGTGTGCACGTGTGTGCGTGTGCATTCGTGCATGCACTTTTCTAACACTGGTTGCTAAAATAGCCTACACCTTTTCCACTTCCGTTTCATTTGTTCTGCATAGCGTTTTGCATGTGTGCACGCATGCATCCATCCACCAGTCCTTATTATGTCCATCATCGGTTGCTCTGCCATTTGTTCATTTATCAAATGACAATGATGGGCTTGACAATTTGCTAGATGCTGTGGAATAAGACTGGTCCAAGATCCAGTATCTTGGTTAGGGTTACCATTGTTGCGATGAACGCCAAAAGCAAGCTGGGGAGTAAGATTTTTATTTTGCCTACATTTCTGTATCACAGTTCTTCGTAGAAGGAAGTGAGGGCAGAAACTCAAACAGAGCGGGAACCTGGAGGCAGAAGCTGATGCAGAAGCCATGGAAGGATGCTGCTTACTGGCTTGCTCCACATGGCTTGCTCACCTGCTTTCTGATAGAGCCCAGGACCACCAGCCCAGAGGTGGTATCACCCACCATGGATTAGGCCTTCCCACATCAGTCACTAATTAAGAAAAGGCCCTGTAGACTTGCCTACAGCTTTATTTCTGAGAGGAGTTAGGCTTTCCTCCTCTCAGATGACTCCAATTGGGTCGAGCTGACATAAAACTAGCGAGTACAGCCCAGGAGCTCTCTGTCCAGTGTGCACAGTCGCAGCTGAAGAACTAGAAAGCGTTCCCAGCATATCCAAGGATGGTCAGGGGGAGCGCATCGAAGGAAGGATTGGCTTTGACTTGACGAAGGAGGTGACATTTGTTCAGGGCTGTGGGGAATAAGTCATGCTGTCATGGATGGAGACTGGGAGGGGTGTGACCTTACAGACGGAAGGGATGGCCCAAGCACAGCCTTGGAAGTGTAGGGCCAACTGCTTCGAGACATCAGGTGGCATTTAGGCTACATGAAGGGAAGTACTGGGATATGAGACTGCTAATGTAACTACGGCACCGTCCCCCAGTTTAGAGAGTTAGGCGGCCTCCACAGATCACTTTTAGGACATTTCTTTGTCTTAATATTTTCCCTTTTGGTTCTTTTCAGTTATCTCTCTCTCTCTCTCTCTCTCTCTCTCTCTCTCTCTCTCTCACACACACACACACACACACACACACACACACACACACACACACCACACATCCCTCAAGCCCTGGGCAGCCACTGTTTTCCATCTCCCTAGACTTCCCTTCTCTGGGCGTTCCTCATGTTAGACTCAAGGATGCTGGGAATTTTTTTTCCTGTGTCTTTCAGATAGCACACTGTTTTGTTTGTTTTTAGATAGAATCTCACTGTGTGGCTCTGGCTGGGCTGGAACTCACAGAGATCCATTCTCTGCCTTTCAAGTGCTGCGATTAATGCATGCCCCAGCACGCCTGGCCTTAGCATGTTTTTGAGAGCCGTCTACATTGTAGTATGTGTCATAGTTAATTTCTTTGTCTGCAGAATATTACTTGGTTATGTGGCTATACAACAGTACTTTTGCTCATTTACACTCCATATAAACTAGGTACAATTTTTAGAATATTTTTATATGCATGGATGTTTTTCCTGCATACATGTATAACACGTGTGTGCCTGGTGCCCTCAGAGGCCAGAAGAGGGTGTCGGATCTCCTGTAACCAGGGTTATAACTGGTTGTGATTCACTATGTGGGTGCTGGGAATTGAACTCAGGTCCTCTGCAAGAGCAGCAAGAGCTCTTAGTTGCTGAGCTGTCTTTCTAGCCCCAAACTGCATTTTCAACCCGTCCATAAAAATAAAAATAAACTTTCATCCAGGATATTTATTAAAAAACTGGTTGGGTTCTGGTTAATTTTTGTTACTGGGAGCATTCACGTGCATATGTTAGTGTAAGCCTCAGGCTTTACAAGGGATTCAAGTCAGTCCCTACCTGGGCAGGGTCCTAAATTCAGAGCCTGCCCCAGGGTGGGACAGACAGACAGACTACAGCCCTGTCTCCCCCCAGGACAAAGGTGATGCTGGGGTCAAGGAGCTGGACAGCTTGAAGAGTGACCGACTGAGAACCATCCAGCTCAATGTCTGCAACAGCGAAGAGATAGAGAAAGCAGTGGAGACGGTCCGCTCCGGCCTGAAGGACCCTGAGAAGGGTAAGGGCCCCGTGAGACTGCGGGCTTGGTATGTGGTGCTATTCTAGGGCTCCTATCTAACACTGCCCTCTATTTGCTGGCACCCTGGCAAAAGGCTGTATTGTTTAAACTCTTCTTCCTGCTCTGTAAAAGGAAGTGGATTAAATGAAACATGCCTGTGCAGTAGGGCAGTAAAATATGGCCAGAGGCCAGTTTGAAATCTGGAGAGCACAGATGGATGTACTGGTTCAGGCCAGTTCATCCGATGCTCTTTGAATGGCCCACTCTGGGCCAGGCACTGGGCTGAGAGGTGGAGACACGAAGATAGCTAAAGCAGCCTCTGTCCCTGAGGACCTAACAGTGTAGTGAGTGGATTGATTTCACCACCAGGGTGCAGGGCACGGACCGGGGCAGAGCAGCAGGGAAGGGGGCTGAGTGCGGTGCCAGGGGTATGGCAGGGATGGGTAGTGTGGTAAGAGCTAGGAGATCATGTTAGAAGGAGAGCAGAGCGTGCGCAATGATGGTGTCCTGGGGTGTGGCAAATGGTCCTATGGTAAGGTTGAGATTGGTGGTGGCAGCAGGTGAGGTAGGGGACTGTCTTCTTTGCGGAAGGTGCTGGAGAGTCCAGAGGCTGAGGTAATGGCCTGGCCTGGCTTGTGAAGCTCTCTCTGAAGCCTGCATCGGAGCGGGAGGAAAGACGGGTTAAAGGAGAATATGGGTGGGCACAGTCCTGAGCATGGCAGTAGGCGGGGCTCCCTAGCGGTACTGAGAGGACAAAAACTGGCAGGCTTGATTTGGATGTGGGGATGAAGAGGCAAGAGGCGTCTGTCCTACGTGGCTGGTGTCCTCAACTCCGAGAGCAAGATGAGAACTGAGCAGACATGAAGGTGGCCATGGGACAGTAGGGGAGTGTCCAGAGGTGATACAAGGAGTTAGGACCCAGGGAGGAAGGGAGGATGGAGACTGATGCCTCAGAGGTTGGACACTCTGCCTCAAGGCTAAAGGCATAGAAAGTTTGGAGAGCCAGTGGTCAAAGGTCAGACACTGCAGAGACTCCCTGAGGCCTGAGCATCTGGCATCCTCCTTGGAGGGCCTTGGTTTGAGGGATTCTGTTCTCCAGTTCTGGGGGTACTATCCAAGTGGAACCCCAGAAGCACAAAGCTGGGCCCTGTGAAAGAGCTGGTCTGTGATGTTGATCTTAAAGCCCGTTGGCAGACCAGGACAAAAGGGGTATGCCTCAGTTAGCTCCCTGATGCGCAGGTGCTGGGTGGGGTCCAGCGAAGGTGGCCTGCACCTGTGCTGTGTGGCTGACCAAATTTGCCAGCCTGAAAAAATGTTGCCATCTCTGAGAAGGGCCTGTGCCACGTGGCTAGGTGTGGAGAGGCTGTTAGGGAGCCTGTCACTGGTGTCCCCTCAGCAGCTCAGTGCTGCCACCCTACTCTCCTAGAGGCCATTGGGGGGAGGGGGACGGTGCTGTGTTCTCCAGGAGCAGCCTAGCAGGGTGGATCCCAGTGGGATGATCACCGGCCTCATCGCCTGTCACCCCTTCTCCCAGCAGCCTCCCAGGGCGGCTACCTTCACACACTAGGAGGTGGGAAAGCAGCAGCACCCAAAAGCTCAGAATCACAGCTGTGGGGTTTGTGACTGACAGGAAGGAGCCCAGCTGGGATCCATGGCCACGCCTCTGCCACTCACCGAAACCTGCCTCAACCGTAAAGCAGTTTTTGGGGAAAGATTTGGAATTTTCATGTTCGAAACCAGAAAACTGAACAGTCAGACAGCATTCGCGTACCCCACCCCCATCTTCTTTTCCCATCTTCCCTCTGCTTCCGGATGGGTCTCCCCTCTGGCCCTGGTTGTCCTTCCGGCAAATCCTCCAGCCGAGCAGTGCTGGCTTTGACCTCCAGGTGGCACTCCCCCTCCCATAGCTTTCCAGCAGCTCTGGAGTGTCTTAACATTTCACCATCTTGGACCCTATTGGGCACATTTTGGTGCTGATTTTCACTCTGGTTTCATGGAACAGTCACTAGCAAAGACTGGGAGGCGAGCCTCGGGCCCTGAGGTAGAAGGGACTCTGCTTATAGCGTGCAGCCATCTTGCATCAGTCCCGCCTACTCTGCTTAGTAGGACTCCAAGGGACCTGTGACCAGCCCTCCCCACTCCAGGAAAACTTGTGGATGCAGCCTGACCCTAGAATCATTATTTACCGATCAGTAAGCATTTTTTGAGTCCCTGTTGTATGCTTGGGACTATGCTTGGTGCCTGGAGGGCTCTGACCCTGCAGGAGGAGCTTGGAACTGGGCACCAACCTAGTGGCAACTCAACAACCCAGGGGCATCATGCTGTGGGCAGGGAATACCTTACACGGAGCATGCCCCTTGGTCTGGGAGGGGCAGACTGGATTTACCCAGGTCTTCGCCTCCACATTTAAGTGTGACTTGGGCGTGAACCAGGTCCTGTGGGGGCCTCAGCTTGCCCATCTGTGAAGTGGTAAAGTACGTCTAGCCATTCGTTGCCTAGGTTAGACCTCACCACTGTTGGAGGCAAGGGGCCACAGGAATGAGAAGTACTGGAAGGAGACAGATTAGCCTGGCTATAGGTCCAGGGTAGAGATAAAGGACAGAGATTGAAGCAAGGAATCCTGTGCTGGGGGAAGGAGGGGTCTTCTCTGACAGCGAAATGGAGAGGTAAACCAGGACCCAAGTTACTACAGGAGGAAACAGAACGGATTCCTTGCCACAGCAAAGGAAACCAACAATTGTGTGTGGCTAAGCATGAGGGCTTGTCCTCAGACCTGGGTCCAAATCTCACCTCCCTCTCCTGGTCCCTGGTGACACAGAGCACAGGCCCAGCCACTGGAAACATCTGCTGCCTCATTCTGCTATGGGCTGGATTGTGGCATCTACTGTGTGAGTTAGTTACGAGGTCGGGTGACACCAGCAGGTGGCGCTCCAGGACCTAGTAGCTGTCGTTCTGATTATCCGTCCTTTTCCCAGCCCTGGGTGACACAGTGGACCTTTGGATGGTGTGTCCCACTAACAGAGAACAGAGCAGACGTGGGGACTCAGTGTGTTAGTTGAGGTAAGGATGAGTTAGGACCATGGAGCTCAGAAGGAAGGGACCAGAGGAAGAGGGGGAGGAGGAGGGTTTGTGGATCCATGCCTCCCAAGGGCACATGGGAGTTGTCTGGACATGGCCATTCTGGGAAAGCAGCTGCCTTCCTGGCTGGCAGGAGTGCTGTTGGCGTTTGCTTAGAACACAGACTGCCTGAGGATTCTAGAGAGCGACTAGGTCAACTCCTGCTCCTTGTCAAATCAGCAGGCCTGTCAGACAGTGTGCTTTCACAGGTTACTGTTTAATCCTTATTGGAAAGTGGTGCTGGATACAATTGTTTTACTTTTTAGGTAGAGTGTGCAGCACAGGCCTTTCAGGTCATGTGATGCTGTCCTGCCTGAATCAAACACAGTGTTGCTGGAAAATTCCACAAAAAAAAAAAAAAAAAAAAAAAAACAAAAAAAAAAAAAAAAAACTAAAAACAAAACGAAACAAGACAAAAAAACAAGGTAGAAGAGGAGACTGTGGTGACATTCAGGAGAGCCAGGCTGGGGAATAGGATGGTGGGTGTGCCGGCTAGGAGGCGGGTAAAAGAAGGTGTCAGGATGGGGCTGGGCATGCTGGGTGCCACTGACACTAGGGGGAAAGCTGGTGTCCAGGGGCTTTATTAGTAGGTGGTGTGTCGGAAGAGAATGCAAGTAGGGGCGGGGCTTGGTTGGGGCCTCTTGGAGGCCGTAGGAGAACATGGTGAGCAGTGGATAGAGGCGGCCTCTATCCAGGGTCCAGGGTGGTGTGACCAGATAGAGAGGGTAGGATGGTCACAGAAGTAGGAGCTCAAGTGGCAAGGTTCTCTCTCTCTCTCTCTCTCTCTCTCTCTCTCTCTCTCTCTCTCTCCTTTTCTTGAGACAGGGTTTCTCTGTGAAGGCTTGGCTATCCTGGAACTCACTCTGTAGACCAGGCTGGCCACAAGCTCAAAGATCTGCCTGCCCCTGCCTCCGGAATTCTGGAATGAAATTAAATTTAATTCTGGAATTAAATCTCCACCACCACCCTGCTCAAAGAAGGCTCTTTAGGACACAGATGTAGCATCTGTAGACATTCACCACCCAACACACGTGTATTGATACAGAGTTGAAGGGAGGTTCCCAGGGCGAGGGAGAAGTTGAGGCTGACAGCTGTTGGAGAGTGGCATGGATGTGGGCCTAAGGATTAGCCATAGCTGCCAGAGAGGCTCTGGGCTCCCAGGAGGGAAGACTCAAGGAAGTCTGAAGACAGACCCGGGAGCTGTGGGGTTTCTCAGATGCCTCCGGTTCTGTGGGTTGTGTCTCAGGGTCACAAGTAATGCCTGAGCTGTGGGCAGGAAGCTCCAGCAGGCAGCAGGCAGGAGGAGGCCTCTCTTTTGGACACTTAAGTTAACCAGCAATTTCCTCTCCTTAATAAATGCTCTTAATTCCCCATAATTGAAGGAGAAGGCATCAGAGGTCAGCTGACCAAGCTTTAATTTAGGCAAGACGGAAGGGAGGCAACTGGAGACCAATTATTCTGTCATTTGCACAGACTCATTCCGAGGATGCACTGGGAGAGTGAGGCTGGGGCCTCCTCCTCACGGGTGTTGAGCAGTCATCCGTCTGCTGAAGGCCCTGCAAGGAGCACGGGGTTTTCAGTGGCAGATCAAAGTCTGATGATCTCTTCGACAAAAAGGCAGGACCCACTCTGCCCTGGGCCTCTGGCCTATCCACCACTATTTCTTCTCTCTCCTCTTCTTTCCTCCTCCTTCCTCTTCCCTCCTCCTCTGTCTTCTACTTCTCCTTCTTCCTCTTCTTCCTCCTCCTCTTTCTTCTTCACAGGGTTTCTCTGTATAGCCTTGGCTTTCCTCTTCTCCAGGCTGGCCTTGAAATCACACAGATCCACCTGCCTCTGAATGCTGGGATTACATGCCCAGCTCCCAGCCACTTCTTATACCCAGCAAACTGAACTCAAAGCAAGCCCTGAAGAAAAAAAAAAAAAAAAGACCGTGTTCCCTTGGCTTAGGTTCAACTCTGCCTCTGACTTAATGATGAGACTTAAAAATCTGTCTTTTTCCTTGACAGCTTTGGTTTCCCTTGCTGCAAAAATAGTTTACATACAAAATAAACTCCAAGAACTTTCCAGAACCAACACTGTCTGGGTCTACAAAAGCCAGCTGTCCCTTAGCTGCTCGAGTATTTAACAGTCAAGTGGAGCATGCTGGGAGAATAGGTGTCCCCTCAGAGCCTGTATCATCACTCAGTCTCTTAAGGGGGGAAGAAGAGAGACCCTGGCAAATGGACTACAGAGTCAGGGGACCTTAAATGTGACCACCAGTAAACACCACAAGAGAACCGTGAGAGAACAGAGAATTGTTAAGAGCTCCGAGTTGGGTGGGGCCTGGTCATGAGCAAGGCTTGGCGGCACTGCCCATAACTTAATGAGTGATCTTGACCGTTTGTGCCTGTCTGTGAACTTGGCTTGGAAAATTCCTGAGGTTTCCCTGGCAGCTGGCGAGAGGGGTGACAGAAGCAACAGCCGAGTTGAATGCTCAGGTGCGGGGTGCAGCTTGAGGACATATGGAGGAGAGGGAAATGCCCGTCTTTCTGTCTTTCCTGTAGCTGTCATGAACACCATGACTGAAAACCACACTGGGAGGAAAGGGTTTATTTAGCGTAGAAACTTCCATGTCACAGTTCGTCACTCAAGGAACTCGGGGCAGGAACTCAAAACAGGAGCCTGGAGGCAAGAGTGGAGGCAAAAGCTGCTTACTGGCTTGCTCTGCGTGGCTTGCTCAACATGGCCTTCTCATACACCCCAGAACCACTTGGCAAGTCACAGCAGCACCCAAGGTGGTGTAGGCCCTTCCAAACAGAAAACGGCCTATTGATTCGCCTGCAAGCCGATCTTACGGAGGCATCTTTTCAATGACTCTTCCCAGATAGGTTTAGGTTTGTGTCAAGTTGACAAAAACCAACCAGCGCAGTGTTGGAGTAAAGCAGGAAGACACAGGCAGAGACCCTACGAGGCTCAGTCATGAGGGGCTGAGAATCGCTTCAGCCAGCAGTGACGTGAAGCCCGGATATGCTTCCATAGGGACCTTCTATTCTGCCAGGATGCCAGGTGTCTCTCCCCTTTCATTCTTGGGTAACTCTAGAAATGTTTCCTGAGAGCCTTGGGCGCGAGGCTAGGTAGTCATGGAAGAAAGAAATCAGGGTAGAGAGCAGGGAGCAAGCTGGTGGGAGGCCTCTGAGCCCGTGGGGTGACTGGCTGTGTCCTCTCTTGGCCAGGCATGTGGGGCCTGGTGAACAACGCAGGCATCTCAACATTCGGTGAGGTGGAGTTCACCAGCATGGAGACGTATAAGGAGGTGGCCGAAGTGAATCTCTGGGGAACGGTGCGCACAACAAAATCCTTCCTCCCGCTTCTCCGAAGAGCCAAAGGTGAGTTGAGTTGGGAGGACAGATTCTCCCCGTACCTGCCAACATCCACAATGGCAAGTCTCAGAGCCACGGAGGCCTTGGCAGTGGTAGGGCAGACTTGCATGGCCAGGTAGGGCAGAGGGGTCTGTGGCTCTCAGAAGTGGAGCGGATGAGCTAGGCCTGGCGGTGAACTCTGTAAGCCCGTTTGGCACACTGAGGCAGGAAGATCTTGAGGTTCAGGTCAGTGTGGGCTACAGCGTGAGACCCTGTCTTCAAAAACACACAAAGAAGGTAGAGCAGTGGTCTGCACACTCAGGTTCAGGGGTCACAGAGGCTTGCCCTCCAAGAACTGATTCTGGAGAAGCAGTGACCTGTGCAGCAGATGTATCCACATGCTGTTATATCACAAATGTTAGAGAGAGAGAGAGAGAGATTGTGTTGTTCAGTTCAAACTGGAGACTAGAAGTATGGAGAACAGACAGACTGTCCAAATCATATAAAATAGCCAAATGTGAGCAAAACCACCTCTAAAGTCATACAGTTTGATTTTTAACAGCAAGCTGTTTGTGACAAGAGGGACCAGATGCCCCAGACCTGTCCCAAGGTCTTGGCAACACAGGAATGAACAGGATGCAGCCTGTAGTCTTTAAAAGGAAGTTCGTCCTTTCATTGACTTTATCCTTAACGGCGTCTGTTCCTTCCTGGGGCATGCCTTAGGCAGGGCGGTCTCAGCCTAGGCTGAACCCCAGCTATCCCCAGGAGAGGAGAAGTTGTGACGGGCCCCTACCTTCCTAGGCCGGGCCTGTGGCAGAACCCTTTGAAGTCTCTGTTCTCTCTAAGCCTGAGTCAGGCTGAGCAGCTGTCTGCGGTCTTCTTCCGCAGGCCGAGTTGTTAACATCAGCAGCATGCTGGGTCGCATGGCCAACCCCGCCCGCTCACCGTACTGCATCACCAAGTTTGGGGTGGAGGCTTTCTCCGACTGCCTCCGCTATGAGATGCACCCTCTGGGGGTCAAGGTCAGCGTGGTGGAGCCCGGCAACTTCATCGCCGCCACCAGTCTCTACAGCCCCGAGCGTATCCAGGCCATTGCCAAGAAGATGTGGGATGAGCTGCCGGAGATCGTTCGCAAAGACTACGGCAAGAAGTACTTCGATGAGAAGATCGCCAAGATGGAGACCTACTGCAACAGCGGTTCCACAGATACGTCCTCCGTCATCGACGCCGTCACGCACGCCCTGACTGCCGCCACGCCGTATACCCGCTATCACCCCATGGACTATTACTGGTGGCTGCGGATGCAGATCATGACCCATTTTCCAGGCGCCATCTCTGACAAGATCTATATCCACTGAAGAGCCAAAGAGAGGTCCCTGTGGCCTCTGCCAGGGAGCCTGGTGGGAGGGAAAAGGATGGGGGGTGGGGGGTTTTCACACAGTTACGTTTTGATTAACCCTTGTGGATTAACCATTGTCTTAGGAAGACGTATTGTAGCGTTAACCTGACTTGTTCAACGCGGTGAATGGTTTGGGCCTTCACAAATGTGGGGGCACAGGTGGGCGGCCCTCAACCCCAGGGCCAACATGGTGCTCCTATCTATCTCAAATTGATTTTATACAGAGATTTGTGGGGAAATGTCTTTATATTAAAAAACAGATTATTAGAATAGAAATCCAAAATTATTTTTAAGCCGAAACATCCAAAGTACTCATCCCATTTGCTCCTTAAGCAAGTCTCACGAGCAAAAAAGAACAGATTTGTGCGTGAAAGAATTTGCAGATAATGGAGGACACACAGAATACCTCTCTCTCATTGTGTTCAAGGGGTCCCATCCGTGTGCTGGCTTTGCTGTGAAAGCTGGTCGCATTTGGGACCCAAGAGTCCAGGAACCCTCTGATCATCAAGTCTGTGTCTTCTCTTGAGCCACTCACACCAGGTGCCATTGGGTTTCTCTATCTGTGGCTCTGTGTGACCGGTGGCCCCATCCAGTGACTCTCAGCCGGCTGGGGGCGGGGAATCTGGAGACTTCCAGCTGAGGCTTCAACACCCTCTTTGAAGACTCAGGTTAGATCTGGGTGGAGCCGCTGTCTGGCTAAGAGGGCAGTTTGATTTCACCTAGGACAGGCTTGGGGCTACAGGCAGTGGTGGTGCCAAGGCTGGGCATGAGACACTTCCCCAGCAATGGGTCTAGATGCCTGCTTGTCTCGAGTGCTCACTCGGTGCTCCCAAAACACACACCCACTCCATGGGACTTCAGGGTGGTCCTTTCTACTGTGAACTTCTTTTTCATAAAGCAGAGACGCTACTAGACAGCCTGTACTGCCAATTAAGGCATCTTTGAATTTAAAGGCTGCTTGTCTCTGAAGTTGCCCAGGGTCTGGGTGTTTGGCTCCAAACCAAATACCAACGTGTTCCAGGTGGTGGCAAGCCTTTGGGCAGGGTGTTGCGTGCCAGCTTTACACATCTTTAACAATCATTTGTGCCTCTTGTTGCAAAGTCTAGACCTGCCACGAGAGGGAGCCCTGCCTCCTCGAGTGTTTGACCACATACTTGGCCACTGCCTGGGAACAAAGAGAATCAAAGCCCCCTTGGAAACCGATCCTACAGCTGTCTAGCCTGAACCTGGAGCCCAAAGCCAGGAAAAAGCAAAGGAACCTGGGCAGCTACCAAAGGGTGCAGGCAGTGCTGAGGCAAAGAGCCTCCCACAGAGAGCGATTTCCCCTGCCTTTTGGGAATTTGACCCCTGTGGATTCAAAGCGGGATGCCCTGTTCCAGCCCCTGTCTTCAGAGCAAGGCAGATAGGGCCTGGGAGGGAAGGAAAGAGGGAGGCAGGGTCCCAGGGCCCACAGAGGGACTCCTGATGACTTGCGGTTGCCTAACAACCGGGTGCTTTTGCACTGCAGAGCCTGCCTCCAGCTGGAGCCTTTCTGTGGCATTTTCACGTCTTGGGAGAATTTGTTTTCATGCTTAATAAAGAGATTGGTTGTGACACTTGCAGAGTGCCTTGGAAGTTACACGAATCCATCACTGACAACTGAAGGGAACCGGAGGTGACACACACTTGAGTGGCAATGAACTGAATGCCGGAGAATCTGCATTGGGGTCTTAAGCTGCAAAAGAGGACCACCTGGTCAGGCCGTTCTGGTTTATTTTATTTATGGTTATGCTGGCCCTGATCTTTACAGTCTCTAATCCGGCAGCCCAAGGTTGCCAGGCATGGTGGCACATTCATTTAGTCCCAGCAATTTGGAGGCAGAGGCAGGCAGATTTCTGTGAGTTCAGGGCCAGCCTGTGTACAGAGGTAGTTCCAAGCCAGGCTGGGCTACACAGTAAGACCCTGTCTCAGAAAGGAAAAGCCCAGGGTAAGCTCTCTCTAAATAATCTCAATGGTAATTCAAACCATCAGCCTGCTTGGACACAGGAACTACCTTTGATCTTTACGAAACAGCCGAGGTGGGCAGATCACGGGTGGCTTCCATTTTATAGGTCCTATAACTGAGGCCCCAAAGAGGAAATTGACTCACCCGGCATCAGTGGGTGGGGCAGAGGGTCCAGCCTCCAGAGTTAGGTGAACATGTACTTTGTGTCTTGTTGCTTAATCCCCCACCAGCGGCGTGCTCTCATAACTGCTGGGCTGACCACAATGGCCAGGAGCCTAGCATTTTTTTCCTACTCCTTCCCTGTGCCCCTTGAGGCAGGGAGAGGCTGTAGCACCGTAGGCTGGCTGCCACCTGCCCAAACCTCAGTCGATACCACAGGCAAGATGAAGGAAAGCACTGAGGACAAACCTTTGGGGGGGGGGGGGGGGGGGGGGGGGGGGGGGTGACTCAGGTTGGGTTCAGCTGAGACCCCTGGCCTGCTGCAGCCACCAGGAACTGATGGCCGGACATGGACCTTTTCAAGACTCTTCTGCTTGCTAAGTCAACGTGTCCTAAGCCTGACATTACACCTCAAGGCCATGAAGCTGTGTGAGCAGCGGACAGGACAGCCTGGCCCTTCCTGTCACAAGCCGCTAGGGCTGTGTATTGTGAGGTCTTCTCGCTTCCCGCCTTTCAACCCTGCTCCCCAAATCTGTGAGCACCCTCCTAGGACAGGTGAGCAGGCAGACTCTCCCAGCTTCGGGAGCCAGGTAACAGCCAGACTCCTGTATACCGGTGCCAAATATACCTACCAGCCAGTTGCACTTTCTTTCACCCAGTCCTCTCAGCCACCCAGGTACGTAGGCAGGCAGGGTGGGGTCAAGATCTATTTTATGGATAAGGAAACAGGCTTTTCAAACCAAGTCTTTCATCACATGAGGGACAAAGCTGACGGGCCAAGCCTGAGCTCACCTCCAGCCCAGAGCCGGTGATGCATGAAAAGCAGGGCAGATGGTAGCAGGATCTAAAATAAGGAGGGGAAAAAAAAATACCTCGATTATGTAACAGTGAGAGGAATCTTTAAGCTCATGCACAGTAACCACCACAGAGCACGGCCACACAAACCAGCTCTCCCCTCCCACCGCGTGTGGCGTTCTGATCATGGCTTCCTGGGAGACTATGTTGCTGGAGGATCCACCAGCGATCTTGTGGCAGGCAGCCTGCTTTTGCAGGGGCTATGCTGTGCCTAGTGGGCATTTCAGAGGCCATTGGAGCCCACGTCTCTAGGGGCTTGGGACAGTTAGTCTCAGTTTTAGTCAAAGAGCTCGAACAAAGAGAGACGGGAGGCATTGGAGCTCTGGTGGCAATTACCTAGCCAACCCCAGGGCATAGAAAGCCTTCCTGGTATGCTCAGGCATGAAAGGATGGTGATTTGTGAGTGCCAGCTTCAGAGGCACAGTGCAAGCATCCAAGGATGGGGACCATAGTTTGGACAAGCTCTTGAACCCTGCTATCGACAGGTTCATTACCCGGGAAAGTCTTTGGTTCAGAAAGATTTGTTTGCCTCCTCCACCTCACCTCCTTCCTTTGGCACCTGGCTCTGACCCAGACCTCCACAGAGCAACTGAAATATTCCCCATACTCTCAATATTCAGAAGTGGCTAAGTCAGCTTCAAGAGGCCAGGTGCCTCTTTTGGCAAGATTTTCATCCACCTCACTGTTTGAATAGGAGATTTCAGCCATGATTATCCCATTCCTTGTGTACCCGGATGACACATTCTGGGCTGGGTGGCCGTCTGAGTTCCCTTCAGGCAGCCAAGAACTTTTCACCTCTGGCAAGGTGCCAACAGCTGCTCACTTGCCCATGCCCTCACCACGGGGATGTCTCCCATTCATCTTCTGTGGCGAGCAGGTTATGAATGGTGGGAAAGCATTCTGTCCATTTTGCAGATAAAGGAACCAGGGCCATGGGGAGGTGGCATGATTTATGGGAGATCATAGCCAGAAAGAGAGAGTGCCAAGACAAACCCAGCATTCTAGTTTCTGTCTCTAGGACTCCTTCCTAGTCCCTTAGTCTCCCCAACAGGATCCTAGATCTGGGATAGACTTAACTCAGTGATGGAACAGTGGTCAAAGGTAATAGCATTAAGGCCAACTTCTTCCCAGCCCATAGTTTGCAGAAGGCAGAGTGGAAGGGAGGCTGAGCCTTCCCTCTCTCATGGCACATTTATCACCACATTAAAGGTATTGTCGAGTGGCCCTGCCCTGATGTGAGGATTGTGAGAGCAAAGGCAGAAAAGATTCCAAAATGGGGCCCAGGGCCATTTTTGCCTCTACAGTATTGGATATGTATCAGAAGGGAGGGGAGGAGGAGGGAAGGATGGAGGAAGTGAGGGAGGAAGAGAAAGAGAGAGAGTATGAATGAGAATTCCAGAGATGCTGGGGCACAGAAATTCTTGGACTTGTTCGCAGTGAGATTTAATTAGTCTCACATGTTAGGCTTGTCTCGCTTATCAAATTAGAGGTAAACTTAATTACATCCCCTGGAGTAACCACACTGAGAAGGAGGGCAGCCTGGCTGCCTTTCTCAACTTCCAGCTGTAGCCATCACTTAAGGAGTGGTTTGCTCTGCAGAAAAGTCTTAGTTCAGAATGTCCAGCCAAAGTTGTGCCAAAGGGATGCAGGACCCACCATGAAAAACAAACACATGCCTGATCTCAGAAGCTAAGCAGAGTGGCACCTTGTTAGTACTTGAGAGGAAAAAAAAGATGGAAGCCAGGCCCTGCACTGCAGAAAGGTGTCAAGAGTTCAAGGCCAGCCTGGGCTACAAAGCAAGACACTGCCCTTCACCCCAAGGAAAGAAAAGACAAACAAAGAGCAGGTATGATGCTACACAAGGAAACACAAAAGTTGTAGAGAGGCAAGGGCATCTTCCAGGGAAGAGGGTAAAAAGCAAGTCCCACCTCGTCTCTTCAGCATTCAGGCAGAAGGGGGTAGAATTAAGAGCTGTCGTCAGACTGCAGGAGCTCCTGGGTGAGATTTTACTCCTAGTCTACGGAGTTCCTAGTTGTGTGGGCTGTGGTGGGGCATAGAGTGGAGAGACTGAACTGCTTTAGGAGCTATTTGATGCTCCGCAGAGCCTGGTTGCTACAATGCACCAAGAGTGTGGAAGTACCTAGGGAGGTTGAGCAGACCGCAGGTGTGCCCTCTGAGAGGCTGGGTTTCCAGAGGGCCCAGCCTGAACTTGGGGAGATAGTATCTTTAAAATACAGTAATTTGAGGAGTCTTGAAGAATTGCAACACCAGGAATAATTGGAAGTAGTGAGATATCCAGGGGCTGTTTGGCTTAAGTAGGATCTCAAAAGCCATCCAGCCCCTGCCCCTGAGTCCAAGGCTAGCTGCATATGAGTCTCCCGGGAAACTGGCTCAAACAACCAAGAAACCAAACCGAGTCATGTCTGGGGATGTGGCTTGGTGGTTGAGTACTTGCCTAGCATCCACAAAGCCCTGGCTCCCAAACTGGTACCACAAAACAAAGAAATAAGCAAACACCTACAGTCAGTAGGTGGAGTGGGCCCAGGACCTTAATTCTTCAAGGTAACTCCAAAGCACGGCTAGGAAGCAGACGGTTGGAGAAGAAAAGGGGTGCTGGGCTATGTCACTGTAGTAAAGATCCAAGCAGTGCGTTTGGGTGGGACAGAGGTGACATTCAAAAACCAACCCTCGCTCCATCCTTTGTGCCTTGGAGATCTCTCATGCTCTGGGCAGCCCAAAAGCCATAAAACTCTCAGTGCCTATATTCTGGAACATTCTGAGATTCCCTCAGAGTCCCTGGGGTTTGAAAGAGCAGGGAGAGAGAGTGTGGGCTCGGTCTTAGTTATTCTTCTATTTCTGCGAAGAGACACCATAACCAAGGCCACACTTAGGAAAGAAAGCATTTAACTGACAGCTTTCTTGATGTCTTAGAGGGTTCCTTCGTGGGAAGGAAGGAACATTATCTTATCATTATCTTGGGAAGCAGACAGTCACAGCACTGGAACAGTAGCTGAGAGCTTTACATCCTGATCTGCAGGCAGCAGGCAGAGAGGGAGACACCAGGTCAGGTGTGAACTTTTGAAGTGTCAGAGCTATAATACCCCTCCTCCAAGAAGGCCACACCTCCTAATCCTTCCCAAACAGTTCCACTAACTAGGGACCAAGCGTTCAAATATATGAGCCCACGGAAGCCATGCTCATTCAAATGTCCACATCTCTGAACAGAAGGAATATACCTTGTCATCTGCCACCTGGGTTTGAAATTAAGGAAGAACTTAAGTTCTATGAGAACCTGTCTGCAAGCTTCTAAGATCCACAACCGACTGTTCAAAACACCTTGCATGTTTTCTAATTGAATGAACTTCCCAGGTGAACAACAATGAAACGAGCAAGGAGACTGGGGGCATAGAGTATTTTGCTCCCTAGGTCCAGGTGGTACAGCCTCCAGCCTGAAGCTCACCCACCAGCAACTCCACAACCTTGAACCTCCCTGTCAGCCCTTGATTTTCAGTCCTACACGTTGTAGGGAGACAGTCAAATTGGCAGCAAACTTGTCTTCCCAGCCCGGCCCTTGCTGAGGTGATATAAGTCCTTCGG